TCCTTCTAAGGTTTTTGAATTTACTTGAAGATAACACTAGAACATAGAACATATAAGAAGAAAGTAAAAATTTGTTATCAACAAATGTTCTCATAAAAATATTTAAAGCAAACAAATGTTAAGATCTCAATCTAGGGACAATAAACTTAGTTTAGAATAGCTCAATAAAAATCTCTAATGCATTGCATGTAGCAACGCTTGGTTTGCTTAATACTAGTGTTATTATTACTTATTAATCCAATTAATCAAATAAAGTTTATAATTATAAGCATGTTTGTAATTTATATATACAAGATTAATTTTATTGCATATCAACCATTAGATGGTAGAATAAAAAAGAATATACTAGAAAAGGTTTAAGAAAGTTTATAAATTATAAACATGTTTATAAATTATAAATACAAGATTAATCTAAATGAATAACAACTGTTAGATGGTAGAATATCCTAGAATATCCAAGCATATTCTAGGTATATCCACTACCATCCCAGTCCCCCTATAAGTTTGCTTAAGCAAACCAAAAATAAAATTGAAAATACTAGCTAAAAAATGTGTAAAACCTCCCAAAAATAACATGAGCGAAAAGAGATAAGATCTTTATTAAAAAAAGCACCAAAATTACTCAAAAAAATTGTCATTGAAATCTTTTTAGAAGTGAAAAAAAAAACCAAGAGAGTGCCTTTAAAAATCACAAGACAAAGAGAAAAAATTATTCAAAACCCATGATAATAAAAGGTAAGTGAAATTTACTAGAAGAAAGATTAAATGATGCAAAAGACAATTGTCAGAAACCTCAAAGATAAATCATTCAAATGCAAGAAAGAAAATTAAAAAAAGTGGCTTATGGTAAGTTTGCAAATATACCTCATGGACATCAAAATAAAATTCTCTTTGCTTATCACAATCTTTGTGCCAAATCCAAAGATTTTTTATTCCAAACAATAGAGAATAACAAGATTTACAAACCCATTCATTCAATTTGTCAAAAAGAAGATAAATAAAGCATAAGAATAAGATTTGCAGTCGTGAGTAAAGCCAAAGAAAAGTAAAACAAAATAAAGGAAATTCACTCATTTGACTCCTAGGGTTAACTATGCAAAGAATCCCTAAAAGGAAGAAAATTGTACTTAAATTTCCCTTATTGTAACCCAAAAAAAAAAAAGAAAAACATGAAAATCTAGCTAAGAATCAACCCATCCTACTGCACCACTTACTCTTGATGTGCTCAAAGAGAATAAAACAATTCAAGCAAAGATGCTAAGTATAAATGAATTAGTATATGCTTTGAGAAGAAAGGTATATACCCCTGTAATTGAGGGTAGTGGGTAGCACAAGTGAAAACAAATTACATGTGGGTAGCACAAAGTGAAGACACATTAAATGTGGCAGAGCTGGCCTACCAACTACTTCAACCTACTATAGGACTACAGTGCAACCATCAAATCAAGGAACTCCATCAAAGAGTTTTGGGATGAAGCAATACCAGTGGAATTCGGCCATTATAATGCAAAAACCAGACAAGATCAGGCACCCATACATCAAGTTGATGGAACGATTCACCTAAGTCGGAGAAAAGAGCACTCTCACGGTCAAGATTTCATAAGGCAATCTGTACAAAGCCGGTAAAACTTTCTGCAAACTAGTTGCTCTTCCCCAAAAAAGATCACGACATTTTCAAAGATTCTGAAGCAAAGATAGACCTGGACGCTATTTGAAGTGTGATTGGAGAAAAAGAATGATTTCCATTTCGAAGTATGCTTCTAGCAATCTGCAAGAACCATTGCAGCGAGAAAACTTACCTGTCGAAGTTTCACTCGAAAACCCTGTCTCCGCTGGCGTATTTACAAAACACTGCGGCGCTGAAGACACAGAGAACCGCCGGAAGCCCGAAGACGAGCCTCCAGCTGCCAAGATCCGCCGGCCCCTGGCTGGACGATTGCAGAATCCATCCCGTCAGGTTGACGCCAACAATCCCCGCAAAAGTCCCAGCAGTGTTGGAGATCCCCATGACGATCCCAGCGTACCTGGGAGCAATGTCCATGTGGTTGACAGCAAAGCCAGCTCGTCCCAGCGCCAAGGATCCCAGTATCACCGACGAGCAAACTATCGCGCTCTGGACGGAAGAGATCTTCGGCATGATTCCCAGCCCAGCAGCAGCGACCACAAACCCCACGCCGTTGATCCACTTCCTGGTGTGAGCTACGTTCATGATCTTCCGGGTCACGAAGTAGTCCGCCACCAGTCCCCCCACATTGGACATGACGAACATCACCACGTATGGCATCGTCTTGGAGGCTCCCATGTGTTGCAAGCCGACGTGAAGGCCCTGATCGAAGTACGTCGGCAACCAGCTCATGAGGACGTAGAGAACGTAGTGGAACGTATAGTTGTTGACGACGATCGCCCACACCGGCAAGCTCTGGAGGATCTTCTTCCAAGGAATGTGGGTTCTTGATCGAGCAGCAGTAGCAGCAGCAGCAGCGGAAATCTCTAGCCCGCCAACCTTCTTCCAGTTCTCTTTCGTAGCAGCCGCCAGCAATCCATTCTCCTCGCCAGCCTTCACGGAATGGATGCTCTTGAGCTCGATGTCCGCCGGAGCTCCAAACCCCGCCGCCGAGGCCTTTGGATGCTCCGAGAGTGGCGGATCTGTCGAGTAGAAGTGCCAGAAGATCGCCCAAGTGAGGCCCATGAGAGCTTCCATCACGTAGACCGCCCGGGGGCCGCTCCAATGGACGAGCTCCGGGAGGAAGAGCATCCCAAACGCGGCCCCGAGATACATCCCCGACGTGGTGAGAGAGACCGACCTGGATCGCTCGTGAGGGGGAACCCACTGCGCCAGGACGGTGTGGACCGATGGGATGATGAATCCCTGCGCGACGCCGACGAGCACCCGGATCAAGATTATCACGGCGCTGTTGTGGCGCGGATCGATGGGCGTCGCGATGCACGCCAGCGTCCACGCGAAGAATGACCAGAGAAGGACCCTGCGGCCGCCGATGCGCTGCGCGACCCAGCCCCCCGGGACCTGGGAGATGGAGTAGCCGTAGAAGAAGGCCGAGAGGAGATTACCCTTGGATTTCTGCGTGATCCCGGCGGAATTGGCCGCGGCCGTGTAGGCGATGGAGAATCCCGTGCGCTCCACATAGCACACGGCCGTGCACACGAAGGTGAGCAGCACGATGATCCGGCGCTGGGGCCATTTCGACGACGCCATGCTTACATTTCCTTGCGGAATCTCTCCCCGATCTGTGCGCCTTGCCTGGATCTACCTAGAATGAGGAATGCATTGGCGCTGTGATCTGTCCGCCATAGCCGAGCTTTCCCTCGATGTTTTAGGGTTTGACTTTGAAATAAAGCTTACGTGGATGCCACGTGCTAGACAGGTCACCCGCCACGCTGGCTGCGCGCCAAAACTGTGGTTTAAACGAAAGGGCATTGCATTTTTAGGGCGGAAGCGTTTTGTTGAAGAGGGCGGCGATGAGGCGATCCCATGTAAGTGTCTCTCTTGGAAAGATCTCACGGCTTCTCTCAGCCGCCTGGAAGGGCTAAGCTCAAATCGCTCAAATCTGGAGTGTCCAAGTCCTGGAAGAATGCAATGTGTCGCGTCATCGTCCTCGTCTTGGTCGATCTGTTGATGTCGTCAAGACAAACAAAGGGAAGTCTTTCTGATTTCTTTTCTGGAGCTCCAGGCTTACGATCCAGTTGCTTGCTCTACATTCCAAGCGAGTCCGTATGGATGTGAGTTCACAGAAGATTTTGCGTTTCTGTCTTTCTCACTGTGAATTTCCTTTGTCTTTTTTGCTGTTCTTCAGTGACCATTCCTGACATCAAGCGAAGGTTTTGCATCACCCATGCTGTAAAGAGATACTTTCCTCAAGGGCATCACGACAATTTTGTCGACGGTGGAGTATGTATCAAATTTCTCCTCTTTGAAAGTTTATTTTGTTCTTAAGCGGAACCTCCTTTTTGTTTTTCTTTCCATGTGTTTAGTGTCGTATCCGAGATTCGTCGCCGCCAAAGAGAACATCCGGGAAGCACATAATTCCTGGCCCCCATCGCTGTTCCGGTAAGTTACGTTCGGTAAAATTTCCATGATCTTGTAAAATTTTCCCCGCAGTGACGCAGCGAAACGTGATAAATGGAACAATTGATGCCAATGATTTGGTGCGCCGGCCAAACAGACGAGGACCCCAGCAGCTATTCCCGATTTCTCACTACAACGAAGACATCATTGCCGGGAGATTTCATCCGAAAGAGACGGTACGCTACCTAAGTTCTTCCAGACCCGTTTTTGTGACGAGGGTCTCCTTGTTCGATCCAGAAATGGGATAGGAATCTCACGCTTGGCTACCCCGCGTTTGATCGAGAAGAAGTTCGTGAGAACTTGGTGAGAGGTAAACAGGTACGCTACCAGAGCTTCCTCGTCCTTTTCCATTTTGTTTCTGCGATGCTTCTCGTTCCTAGATTTGACTGATTGTTTCCAATCTCTCGCCTCGTTTGGACAGGCCTCGCGTGAACACGCCGCTCACAGGCAGCGGACGCACGCAGTATTGACAGAGTACCTGTATGATGCCAGAGACAGAGCCGGCGACGTTTTCAACAAAGACGAATTCACCGGCAGACGCGTAAGTTCTTGACTGGATCATTGTTCTCCTTGTCTCATGGAATTGATTCATAAAAAAAAAAATTATTTTTTGCAGCAACTATGGGCTTCTACACATTGAGAGTTTCAAAGTCATCCATCGATTTGCCACGAGATAAACGCTACACTCGTCTCATCGATCTACAATGTAGACTCTTTTTCTATGTTGTGAATATACCTGAATCTACCACGTGGTTGGTCCGCATTCCCCCGCCGGGGTTCGTACAATATTCCGTCGATTGGTCCTCTTCTTTGCAAGTGTAGACTTTTAGGGTTCTTTATTTTCTTTGCTAATGCGATGCGATCACTGTGGCGACAGCGGCAATCTTCCATCCTCCCGGCGTCCGATGCGCTCGATCCGATCACGCCACAGCAGCAGCAACAGCGTCAGCGCTCCTTGATCCGATTCTCTCACGTCGCATCGCATTTGCGCATTCTCTCCCTTGCGCCAAGCCAGGACGCCCGTCTGTAAATCGTGCGTGCCAGGGTGCCGGCGCATCGGATTTTTTCCAGTTTTTTTCCCAGGCAAGTCGGACATGTCCTTCTTTGATTAGATTCGCATTTCCCTAGTCATATATATTTTTTAGTGTCTCGGACCTTGTCATTTCCCCGGCAACTAGAGATTCCTTGCTCCATTTGCATAGTCCTTTTCCCTGGCACTACTTTATCGCCGAGTGGTTTGATATCTCTCCCTGTCGCCGGGTTGGCAGTGTTTGCGAGCAACTTCCACTTGCCTTCCCGGTGATTGGGTCCTAGTTGGATCTTCTTAGCTAGCACTAGGTAGTTTGATTCCCAAGCAAGCACGCATCTATTTTTCTGCGGTTTTCGCGTTTTTTTTACCTTGTGGGCGAGCTTAAATTCTCGTTTCCTTACACTAAGATGTTGCCCTCTTCCAGGAGTTCTAGCTAGCGAGCGAGAGCGAGAGTGAGCAAGCGAGCGAGCAGCTGCTACGACTGCTGCTCGACGCAGCCGGTGCTGTTTAGCTGAGGAACAATGGAGCAGAAGTATGTCATGTGGTCGACCATCGGACTTGGGCTTGGTGTGGGGCTCGGACTCGGCCTTGCTCGTTCGAAGTCTTCCCCGAATGTGGCCTCTGCTGGAAGGCAGCTGCAGCAGCCGGATGTCTTAGAGCTGGAGCTCTTGAGCCAGATAATTGATGGGAAGGACAGTGGCGCTACTTTCGACGAGTTCCCTTACTATCTCAAGTATGTATCACTTGTGTTGGAGCTTTGCTTGACTTGCAATTTGTGTTGACCCTCTCGTTGCGTGACTTGTTGGTGTTTTGCAGCGAGCAGACGCGAGTTCTTCTTACGAATGCTGCTTACGTTCACCTCAAGCAAAGGGAGTTCTCCAAGTATACGCGAAATCTCTCACCAGCGAGTCGGACAATACTCCTGACTGGGCCGGCAGGTAAGACTTCCGTTTTTCTCCTCTTTTCCCTTGAGTGCCAACACGCTTTTGTTTGGAGGTGCCGAGGCCTACCAGCAGATGCTTGCGAGGGCTCTGGCTCACTATTTCGAAGCTAAACTCTTACTCCTTGACGTTTCCGACTTCGTCTCCAAGGTACCAAGCTCTTCTTTATAGACGAGAATATTCAAGCAAAATGTGGATGTTTCAGGTTCAGAAAAAGCACGGCGATGTGAAATTTTCTTCTGAGGTATAGCTTTTTGTGGTTCCCCATTTTTGAATCTGATAATTATTGTCTGGTTCACAGCCATTGCCTGAGGTTTTGTTTCGAACTGTAAGCCAGTTCGCCAGTAACGTCGGAAGCTTAGCAACACAAATCACAAGGTCATCAGGCGAAAATGCCTCAGATGCTCAAAGGTCTTCATTTTCTTCTTTTCCCGGGAAAATTATTCACATGCGTGTTTATACAGTAATACATCTCCTAACAAAAGTCCAGAAAAGTCGGGAAAAGCTCCAGAAGGTCGGACATGCATTCCACATTTTTTATATGGCAGCCTAATGTTTTGTTCTCTTGCAGCCTTGCCTTTGCGTCGGAGTAATTCCTTGGGACTATTTGAGGAGAAGTCACTGTTTAATGCATTGTTCAAGGTTTGCATAATGAATGCTGTTGCAAATGTTGTAACTTCTTCTACAGGTTCTCGCATCCGTTTCTGGGTCCAGTCCGATCGTCCTCTACTTGCGTGACGTAGAGAGACTTGTGTCGAGAGGCCCAAAGACATACTCTCTGTTCTTGAAACGTTTGAAGAAGCTTTCAGGCCCAATTTTAGTGTTGGGATCAAGGATAATGCAAACTAAGGTACAAGTCGTTTGTATGTGTTCTTCTGCATCTAAAGCGTTTCCGGCAGGACTCTGAAAGTGTAAATGAGAAGTTGGAGCACCTGTTTTCATACACCATCAACATTAAACCTCCCGAAGACAATGCAGTTCTTGTCAGCTGGAGAAGTCAGCTAGAAGAAGACATGAAAACAATTCAAGCTCAAGACAACCGAAATCACATTTTAGAGGTAATAACATAATGAGGCTAAATATGCAAACCAGAATCATTCCCTGTCCAGGTTCTCGGTTCGAATGACGTAGAGTGCGACGACCTTGGATCCATTTGCTTCAGTGACACGATGCTTCTTAGTAACTGTAAGCTGAAAGAGTCTCTTTGCCTTCTCTCATAAGAATGTCTTTGATTTTTTTAGACATTGAAGAAATATTGGTTTCGGCGATTTCCCATCATCTAATGAACACAGAGCAACCAGATTATCGCTCAGGAAGGCTTGTACTTTCTTCTAAAAGGTTGGTTTTTTTTTTAGTTTCTGACGTTTCAGTTTTAACGTTGAAATACATGTCCAGTCTTGCTTATGGCCTAGAATTATTTCAAGCTGGGCAGCTTGACAGCAACGAGGCTAAATTACAAGCAGAAACAAAGGTGGAGACTTTGAAGGTTCGTGTTTCTCAAATTTTATGGAAAGTTAGCTCACTCGTGTTACAGCCGGAAGCTCAGGAAACAGTCACCAGAGGGAATGCGGACGTCAAAACAGATGTTCCTGTTGCGGAGGCGAAAACCGAAGTTTCAAAGCCTGAAGGACCCAAGCCAGACAACGAAAAGAAATCATCTGATACAACGAAGCCTGCTCCCGTTACCACAAAAGCAGTAAGATAGTTCGATGTTATGAACTGATACCTGAAAATGTTGTTCCTTGTAACAGGACGTCCCTCCAGATAATGAATTTGAAAAGAGAATCAGACCAGAGGTTATTCCAGCTGGAGAAGTTGGAGTGAACTTCCAAGATATTGGTGCTCTTGACAACGTTAAAGAGTCCTTGCAAGAGCTTGTGATGCTACCATTGCGAAGGCCCGAGCTGTTCAACAAGGGTGGCTTGATTAAGGTATATCTAGAAGGGAAGAGGAAGAGCATACTAAATTTTTTAATGCCTTTATCAGCCTTGCAGAGGCATTCTTTTGTTTGGTCCCCCAGGAACTGGGAAAACCATGCTTGCAAAAGCTGTTGCAACGGAAGCCGGCGCTAGCTTCATCAATGTCTCAATGTCTTCCATAACATCAAAGGTAAAGTAACAAGGCATCTTAAATTGGAGCTCCAGAAATGACGTGATATTCTTGACTTGCAGTGGTTTGGTGAAGACGAAAAGAATGTACGGGCTTTGTTTACGCTTGCCGCAAAAGTAGCACCTACGATCGTCTTCATTGATGAAGTATGTGTTCTATCAAGTTGCTTCCACTTTTACCGAGGCAAGATGCTATTGTGCAGGTTGATAGTATGCTTGGCCAACGATCTCGTGTGGGAGAGCACGAGGCAATGCGGAAGATAAAGAACGAATTTATGGCGCATTGGGATGGACTCTTGACCAAGGGTGCTGAGCGTGTCCTCGTTCTGGCTGCAACAAATCGTCCATTTGATTTGGACGAAGCAATCATCCGAAGATTCGAGCGAAGGTATCCGTTTGCTTTTTGAACGCTGAATTTTCTGACTGACTTGAACTTGACTCTTGTGCAGAATCATGGTTGGTTTACCAGACGTACAAAATCGCGAGAAAATCCTACGGGCGATTCTTTCGAAGGAACATCTATCGAGTGACTTTGATTTTCCGGAGCTTGCCAACATGACCGATGGATATTCCGGAAGCGACCTGAAGGTACCAGTCCACATTTCAATTTTTCTTTTCCTTTGAGATGATTCACAAGGACAAGTCTTCCAGAACCTTTGCATGGCGGCTGCGTATCGACCCGTACGTGATTTGCTGAAGAAAGAGAAAGAGAAGAAAGAAAAAGCAGTAAGCTGTCCCTCTCTCCACATTGCGCTTTCTCCCAGTTCTAAAGTCGTGGTCTTTTCTTTCCTCTGGCTATAGAAGAAAAAGAAACGCTCCTCCAAGGAAGAAAGCGAAGCTACTTCCAAAAGCGACAAGGAAGAAGCAGCGGCCAAAGGAGGACCAGCGCCGCCACCAACAGATGCAAAAACAGCCGACGACCTGTCTCTCAGGCCACTCAACATGGACGACATGAAAGAGGCCAGGAAACAGGCAAGCCCAATCTTCTCTCAAGTTGCATGAAACCTTTCGTTCTTACTCCCTCTACTTCCCAGGTCTCTGCCAGCTTCTCCGCCGAAGGAGCGGGCATGTCCGAGCTCCAAGAATGGAACGAGCTCTACGGCGAGGGTGGATCTCGCAAGAAGCAGCAGCTCTCCTACTTCATGTAAGACCACCACGGCGCAACAACACTACCTTTACAACACGGTACTAGACAACACAACGATTACTACCATTATACAACAGCAACGATTATACTACTATAACGATACTATTTGACAACCACAACACTAACAGGGATGGGTTGTAACACTTACAACCGATGGATTGGATACTTCCATATACTTCTAGTCATTGGGTAGCGGTAGCTAGCTCAGCTACATAACAATTCTTTACTTTCATGCGTGGAAGCAGCTCAAAGCACTTGTACAGTCTATATAGAACACCGATTCTTTATACACCATGAGATTGTTATTTTTCTCTCCAAGAAAGTAGGAACCAAGCGAGAGAAACTAAAAGAATGCGTTGTAGTTTATCTGAGATCGTCGTCCACGGAAGAAGCATTGGACGCAGTGGAGGTTCTCCGCGAGACTGTGCGTGGCTTTGTGAACCGACTCGCCGGCTCGCTGTGGAACGGGGACAGTGGAGGGAGGCCGGGGAATGGCTCGTCCGAGAAGCTGGATCCCGACGAGCGCCTCCTGTGCCTCCCTGCTCGAGGCGACTGCGTGACGCTGGCGCTCTCTAAAACACCACCCTTAGGAGAAACAACCCCTCGCTTTGCAGCGTCTGGCGGAGCGATTGACTCGCCGTTGTCTTGGAAGCATATCACGTTGACGCGCGTTCTCTTGAGCTCAGATGGCAAGTACTGTGCTTTTACGTCGTCAGCGCGAGCCTGATGGAATGAAACTCGGATTAGAAGATGTTTTAATGGAACGAGAAAGCTCGCTCTCTACCTGTATGTCGTCCACGTTAGGGGGAGCTTGCACGCTTTCCTCCTCTTCGCTCCCTCGGGTCAAACGACGATTGTGCCCCGTGCTTTCGCTTGATTCACCACCAACGTCTTGCACTTTCTCGAGCAGGACCTCCCGCAGGGAGGTTAGCAAGGCCTTTGCATCGCTCGTACAATACAGGCTGAAAACGGACTCCAAGTAATCCAGCTAAAAAGTCACGAAGATCAAATCACACGTCCGGATCTTGTGAGCTCGTACCTCAAGCATTAGTTGACAGAACCCGTTGACGTCGAGATGGTTGAGAGCCTTGGACAGGTTTTCACTTGCTGTGGTGTGCAGCGCACGTATAAGCCCCTCGAAAAGAACGCATATGACCTTGCGGACAAAAGTTTTGGCTCCAGCGTAAACCTGCGGCGGGAGATAAACTTAAATCTTTCAGACACTGAGATGATAGAGCTTACCTCTGCATGTACAGCAACCAGTGGATGAAGAAGCTCCACCGCCGCGTCACGTATTCCCTAGACATGCACAACAAAGAAACTCTAGCCAGCGAAGAAGTAGCCACAAGTACCTTGACAGGAGGAGCAGATGCCCATTGAGTCCCATCATCTAATATGTAACTGGCTGCAGTAGTTCCTACCGATGAAGCCTGGACGTCGTGAAAGAAATTTCATAACGGATGATGCCATAAGAGAAATACCACTCACCTTGACGTAGTTGTACTCATTCAAAATCTTTTCTTCTAAAGCCGAGAAGGCAGCCACAACTTCGCTTTCCGTAGGTGAAATTTCAACTACCGGCTCTTTGGCGTTCATTCTGTAAAAACTCACAAATTTTAGATAAAATAGAGATCAAGTGCGAGCTGATACCTCTCTCGGGTCCAAACATCCTTGTGTTTGCTCGAAAGTTCTGGCAACAAAATACTTTTGATGAAACCAATATTACTTAGCACCATCAAGAGTTTCTGGTGAGGATTATTAACTTCCACCCCGACTTGAAGTCCGACAAACTTATTATTTGCCGAAAGTGTATCTGCAGCCATATTAACAATTTTTTTATCTAAGAGCTCTGCAACAAAACCACCATGAGCAGGTAAGCTTTTATACTTTGCAGAATGGTGACTCACCTAGAACGTCCAAAAAGCACTCATAAAATGCAGTCTGTAAAGACGCCTGCATCTGACCGAGTTGAGTAGCCAGATTATTAGGCGGAGTTGGCTCAAGTTTCACCTTATCCAACACCCTGTGTTGATAACATTTTCGGTTAAAAGAAAGGAAACAAAATCAGCCGGTAGCGTACTCTTTCATGTGTTCTATCGTTGAGTTGAGAATGTCACGAAGCTTCAGAGGAAGTGAAGAAATCGCATACAAGGATTCATTCCGTTCTACGGCGGGCACTGGTATCCAGTCTTCCTCTTCTATCAAATCGGAAGCCTTTTGCCGCATCAAAGAGCAAAACTTGGAAATAAATTGATGCACAAGTTCCATCTTTAACGTTGTCAATGTTTGAACTGTTAACCATCCATAACGTTAACAATACTATTTCACAACTTTAAGCTATACCTGCGCCGACAGGAGAACAATCCTTTCCAGAAAGAGCCGCACAAGCCTTTGAAAGCTCCCACAGAGCTTCTCGCATATACCAACGCATCTCTGTTGCTTCCGCGAGTGTCGTAAAAGCAGTGTGAACCTTGCATGGAAAATCAAACATTTTAAGAACAATTTTGAGAATAAAGAATAAATTCTTACTTTAGATTCGTACGAGCCTACAATTCCTTGGACCATAGCTACAACTTCATCGAGAGAGTGTGAAGTGTATTGAACAACCACTTTGGGTTTTTCTTCAAAAGGATAGTTTTCATGATCACGGTCTTTCGGCTCTGCCTTTTGTGTACTTGGACGTGATACCTTGACAAGGGAAACATTTATACATTCAACTAACGAAAGAAGCCATTTAACGAACACTCACCTTTGCAAATTTTCCCTTGAAAATTGATAATGCCAGTCTCCAAAAATCAGGAACATACTGAATAATAACAGCTGAAAGCCTGCGTATAAGCCTTCCAAACAGTGCATCAGATTCGTCGTTGATAAAATCTCTAATTTCAGCTTCCGTTGCATCATCTTCTTGATCCACAATAAATAAGGAAATGTCAACCTCAGACTGCAAAACCCAAAACATAATAAGCTTCACACTAACACTCAAAGCGTCACTTACCAACTTTGGCGATTCACTTTGCAATTGCTTCCATCGGGCATCCGATTCCACTTTTTGCTGCAAACGTCCATGCAGGTTATCCATCTGAACCTCGTGTTCTAGGACGCATGCCTCAAGAATCGCTCGAATCCGCCGCTCCTATCACCAGTTTAAAATATGATTCCCATTTGAAAGGCTTCCTTACTTGCATACTTAAGTACTGCCAGACAGGGTCAGAGTCAGGATCCAACTCAAGTAGTAGCCGTATTGCATTTTCGAGCTGCCAGATCGAGATGGTTAAGCATCTGTTATATCGAAAAAAACGCTATACCTGCGAAAATTCGGCATGAGGGTCTTCCATGCATCTCGAGAGCATGTCTTTTAATTCTTGCACAACTTTCTCGACTTCTTCAAACACGCGCTTTAATATTCTTCCCTGCAACGCATTGTTAGTGGGTAATCCCAAGGTCTGACTGCTACTAACATGCGAAGGAAGGACGAGCGACTTGGTCTTTTTGTACTCTCTCACAGCCATGTCATATTCACATTTGCTGATATGCCCACGTATTGCGCTTGGAAGGTTGAATAGTGTTCGAAAACGTTGCAGCATTCCTTGAACAGATCGAATTCGTTCAGCTTGAGCCTGAAAGCTAAGAAGTTACAATTTCCAAAAATAATAAAATACAACTTGATACCTGCCGCTCGAGGAGAGGTCCAAAAGCTCGCTTTGCTACCTCGTCCAAGTCCTGAATAGCATGAGTTAAGTGTGCAGTGCCCGCGCCCTCGGCATCCGACTCTATCTGTTGCAATTTTGAGTGTATATCTGCAACAAGGAGTAAGCGACGAACCACTGAAAATATCAGCACATACCGTCAATCGTATTTTTACACGATACAAAACACTCAAAGTTTTCCTTGACAAGAAGCTTCAGCTGCTGCTTTCGGTTTTGCAGATCCATTTTTAGAGCCGCGTCTCCGTGTTCCAAATCGGAGGCTTTGGTTCTCTGATGAATGCGTGCCAAAAAGTACTTCGGATCGAACTTTTCTGAATGATACAGCACTTTTTCTGCATTGGAAGACAAATAAATTATATATAAGAAAAAACAATAATTTCTATCTTTTCCTAAGAAACCTCGACTTGTAGGATCTCGGGCCGGAGCATCTTGCGCTGGAGCTTTTGCTCCCGGAGAGGCTGAGTCACTTATCAACGTGAGGGACTTCAAATCTATCGTCCTGTTTGAGAAAGCAGAAGCTTAAGTCACGAAAAGTTTAAAAGTAAGAGCAAAACAACTAGAGCACTCACCCGAGACCCAGAGGATCGATCAGATCCTCTCGGGGATAAACCTCTCCCCCAGCCATGGTCGCCCTGCGGGCAAGAGTCGACCTCCGCAATCCTGGAGCAGCTCTTGCCTCACGCATGGCACGAACTCTTCGGTGGAGCTGTAAGAAAAGCAAAGGAACGAAGAAAACTAAGAGCAAAACAAACAAGAGAAGATCACTCTACCTCTTCTTCGTTAACTTTGCTCCAAGACTTCGGTTCTTCCTCCTCCACCTCCTCGTCACTAAAATCCTCGATCCCAAGATCCGCGTCCCTGCTCGCATCCACCGGCTTGGCAGTGGCAGCGGCAGCACGAGGAGCATCGTCGTCATCGTCGGAAGAAATGCTCAGGAGCTCCACTTCCGATTCGTCGTCCTCCATTGGATGAGGAGTTGGATTGTTTAATTGCTGGCGCTGTGCGGGAGGAGGAGCGGCGGGCGGCTTTCGAGAGGGCGGCGGCGGGCGGGTGTAGCGGACGTCTCGCTGCGCTTGCTCCTCCAATGCGCGCTGTAGCAGCTCCTCCTCGTCCTGGTCATCTTCTTCCTCGGAACTCGACATCATCAGCGGCGCACGACACAGAGATCCGTTCCAGGTGCTTTAGATTGTTCGCTAGATCTACGTCATACCTTGCCGCGCGAGCGAGAGGACTCTAACCCTAGCTCGAATTGGATCGCGCGCAGAGTTTTAGGGTTCTTCGTCTAGGGTTTATTGGCGATGATGATAGATCCCAGGCGCGTTGCTGACGATCCAGGAGGCGCAATGCGGTGCCGAGAGCACCGGCGCTTCTCGCATTCCGTGGAGCTCCTGGCGTCTGAGGTATCCGATCGCCGCCTCCGCGAGAGCTGCCTGGCGCATTGGCTCGCATCGCTTCTCCGTGTGATGATCCTGGTTTTCAATCTGATGCTCAGCTCCTCTATTTCGTTGAAAGGGTCCTAGTAAAGTCCAGCACGCGTCCTCTCAAGAACCCTAAGAGTTGTGGTCCAGGGTTTCCGAGCTGGAGATGCCGATCCGCGAGGATCTAGTGAGAGTTCTCCAGATCAAACACCCCACCAATAGCTCCAGCACCTCCAGCGGGTGCGACGACGCCAATTCCAGATGGAGCCAGCGATTGTGCTCGCGATTCAAGCTGGAATCGGTGCTTCCTTGTGTTTCTTGGATGTCGTCCTATCGAGTGCACGAGTATCTCAAGGACGATATTCTTGCTGGGATCACGATTGGAACCATGCTCATACCTCAGGTGCTTAGAGGTTCCCTTTTTTATCTCTTGTTTTTCTTTAGCTTGATCGATGTTTCTTATAGGCTATGTCGTATGCGAAGCTTGCCGGGCTACCTCCAATCTATGGACTTTGTAAGTTTTCTACCTTCGCGAGTGTTTTTTTTCTCTTTCGGTCTGTGCTTATGGTTTTCAATGTTTTCCAGACGCTGGCTTTGTCCCAAACTTGGCATATGGTGTCTTTGGTTCCTCTCGTCAGGTAGCAAATGGTCCAGTAGCTCTTGTGTCACTTCTTGTGTATAATGTTCTCTCGGGAATGGTCCCTCCGGAAGCTGAAAACTACACACAGCAATATGTGGCGCTTGCTGTTCTTTTGGCGTTAATGGTAGGCCTTCTGGAATGCACCATGGGAATTTTGAGGTAAACAATTTCTTGCCTCTTCTCTCAAGCTGTTAACTTCGTCTTGAATCCACAGGTTGGGTTGGCTTGTTCGTTTCATCAGTCACTCTGTTACCTCGGGGTTTACTTCGGCATCCGCGATCATAATCGGACTCTCACAGGCCAAGTATTTCCTCGGGTACAGTATTTCAAGGAGTACAAAGATTGTGCCTCTCCTTTGGAGTATTATGCAAGGGTACAAGGAGGTATACTTGTCCTTGTTGCTTGAGCCTTACTGTTTTATTTCCTTTTCCATGTATTCAGTTCCAGCCGATTCCGTTTCTGATGGGATGTCTTATGCTGTCAATTCTTCTTTCTATGAAACATGTGGTAAGCTGAGTTCTTCGTACTTGTCGGTCTTTAGTTTTCAACTTCTTTCCAGGGGAAAACAATGAAGCGGTTCAGATCTGTACGAGCAGCGGGGCCTTTGACGGCTGTTATAATCGGAACTGTTTTTGTTAAACTGTTCCGTCCGCCATCTATCAGTGTGGTAAGTATGCCTTTTCACAGCACCTGGTTCCTTTAGCTAATAAAATGTGTTTTAGATAGGGGAGATTCCCCAGGGGCTACCACAATTTTCTTTAGACTACGATTTCAAGGATGCCAAAGGATTGTTGTCAACCGCATTTGTAATAACTGGTGTAGCGATCTTGGTGAGTAGCTGGCACAAAAAAAAAAATACTGTCATTAACGTGACATTCTTCGCAGGAATCAGTTGCTATTGCTAAGACGCTTGCAGCAAAAAATGGATACGAGATTGATTCCAACCAGGAAGTAAGGATGTCCTCGTGTTATTGACTGATTGTGACAAATCTTTTCAGTTGTTTGGACTTGGTGTGGCAAACATACTGGGTTCATTGTTTCAATCGTATCCTACTACTGGTAAGTCTTATTTAAACTCTGAGCTTCGAACTAAAACCAATATAACGCAGGATCCTTCTCTAGATCTGCCGTCAATCATGACGCGGGCGCACACACCGGGTTATCGGGAATCGTCACGGGATTCATGATTGGTTGCGTGCTTCTGTTCTTAACTCCGCTTTTCTCAGATATTCCACAGGTTAGTAGACTGAAACATGCTACTAGTCTCCTCTTACCTCTTACCTCCTGTTCAGTGTGCTCTTGCGGCTATCGTTGTCTCCGCCGTGGCAGGATTGGTACGTTGCCATCACGCTTTGATAATTGTCATCGCTAATATGTTATGGATACAGGTTGATTACGATGAAGCAATATTTTTATGGAGAGTCAAGAAAAAGGATTTTTGTCTTTGGGTTGCGGCATTCGCCAACACACTATTTTTTGGTGTTGAAATTGGGGTGCTCATTGCGGTATGTGAATCCCTTTATATTCCTTCCTATTAACTCTCGCATAACTGCAGATTACGCTTTCATTGGTCTTTGTTATCTACGAGTCAGCAAATCCCCATATTGGTGAGGGAATTCTCCTTTTTCTTTCGCTGGACTGTCTTATCTTTTTGTTTCAATCAGCCATTCTGGGACGCCTCCCAGGAACGACAGTATACAGAAACGTGAGACAGTATGCAGACGCGTACACATACCATGGAATCGTCATTGTACGTATTGATGCCCCGATGTACTTCGCAAACATCAGTTTCATCAAAGACAGGTCACCCTCTCCTCTCTTTATCTTTTGTTAAAGCGTGTACGTGCTTTTCCTTCACTTTTGTTTCACGCACTTCTTGCAGGTTGAGGAAATATGAGCTGTGCTCTAAAGCCACAGCCAGCAGGGGCCTCAGGACCGAAGACATCCGCTTCGTCATCATCGAAATGTCTCGTAAGTTCTGACCGTCTATGGATGTTTCTAACGTTTGGAGCAGCTGTAACTTACGTCGACTCGACTGCTATTCATGCCATCAAGGAGCTCTACCTCGAGTACAAGTCGCGCAACATTCAGGTTTGTGAGAGTTCCTCAAGAGCTGGAGTGACCATGATAAAGTTCTTGGTTTTTTGTAGATGGCACTGTCCAATCCAAACGAGCAAGTCATGAAAACGTTGGATCGAGCAGGCATTCCCGAGCTGATTGGGCTCGAGTGGTACTTCGTGCGCGTTCATGATGCCGTCCAAGTTTGCCTCTCGCGCTTGCAAAAGGAAAACTATCCACGCCCAGATGGTGATGAAAGCGCTCCATTGATAATGGTACAGAGAAGAGGCGATTAAAGTGTGGTGTGTAAAGCATACCTTTTAGACTGCTGGCATATTCGATACGGACGGCCACGATCGCTTACAGAACCATCCCGTTTGCATTTCGAATGATGAACGCGCTGGATTTTAGGGTTCTTCGCAACGACGCCCAGCGCTCGTCGCTCTCGCCGCTCGCGGCTTGCTGCTTGCTGCTTGCTGCTCGCTGCTCGATTTGTGCAATGCTGTAGATCGCCACGATGCATTGGAGGGGATGTCAAAGGTAGTGGAGCTCCTGATCGATCGGCGCCAAAGCCATGAATTTTCGCACGCGCGACCGAGAATGTAGCCTCCCCGCTGCCGGATTTCGTTAGAGATGGAGGAAATCGAGCACGTCGTGCAGGTTTTCCGGGGGATGCACTTCAACGAGAGGGCGTTGGAGAGGAAGTATGCGATGGCCTTCACAGGGCCGATCGATCAGCTCTTTGACGACGAAAGCGTCAGGATTGCTGCCGCCAGAGCGCTAGAGGTATGTCTTCTTTCTTGCATTTCTTTCTCTTTTCTTAGTTTTCTTCTCTTCTTGGTAGAACAACGGAGGGGATTTGAGCGCAATCGGAGACAATGGCTACAGGGCCGTGATACATGAGCTCTTTCTTCTACAGAAGTGCGTCGAGAAGGATCCCATGCGTGTTGGTGTGCCGCGAGTAGAACTACCCAGCCCGCTAGCGAAGAAGGCGAAGGCTAATGCTTGGAGTTCTAGCCGACCCAAGCCTGGACAGCTATTGCTGGAAGCGGCTACTGAGAAGCTTGCGGCCACCGAGGACTCGAGAATCTGCAGCAATGTTTGTGACGAGAACTTTGCGTCCACTTCCGGCCGAGACGAGGAACTTCCGGAGTTCCCTCCTGGCTTTGAAGATTTTGGAAAGGTAATGCTGCTGCCAGTTCGTCAAGCTTATGACTGGGGGATTGTCGTCCAAGGCTGTGAGCTCTCGGAGTTGAAGGGGCTGCTCCATAGCAGATTGGAGATCGTTCCAGCGCCGGCCGATGAACTCGCCATTGTTTCGTGCGAGGACAGTGGTGGAGTTTTCAAGTTTGTGTCGGGCGTGGTGGCGGAGATGTTTTATGAGGCTTGCGTGACGAGTCCACCTGTGGTACAAGGGAGGGAGCTTTCCGTTCAGAGGCTGTACGCGCCGGCTGAGATTCCTTCCGTGGACTTCGCGTGGCGATCCTCGTCAACTTTGGTTTACTTTCGGGGAGACGGGGCCCGGAGCAGCCTCAAGCAGCACTTTGAGAAAGTTTTGCCGGAAAAAAACGTTGGAGAGGTGGTCCGATCGATGCATATCTTTCCGGAGGGATTTGACGCACTGGTGGAGCTGGAGTCGGACCTGGTAGCGGATCTATTCTTTTACCGGTGCGGCAAGAACAGGTGCTTGGAATGGGATTTCCTGGTCTGTCGTAGCAAGGTCATGCCACCGGACGACGAAGTGGAGCCCTTCATCGACGTAGTGTCCATACCTGACTTGAACTGGCCGATCAAGAGCATCAACCAGGCAGCGGACAGCAACAAGGTGCCACAGCCGGCATCCAAGAGGCTTGAGATTCGGCTTCTTCCCGATAGTGTCCAGGCCGTCAAGGCGAAAGATACTCAGGCTGCGGGTGAAACACAGTTGCCGGTCAGCGATTATGATACTCGGGCGCTCCGAGGCGATGGCAACTTGAAGACTGGCACTACTAAGGCTCCCCGTCCGACGAAAGGAAAAGAGATTCCGTTTCAACTTCGACTCATGCCTGCGAGCAAAAAGCTGGTGGTTCTCGAGGATGATAGAGCTTGTCTTGCAACGTTTTTCGAGACCCTTCTCCTGCGGAGAAAACCGGACGAGTGCTGTCAAGTCTGCAGTCCTCGGCCCAACATGTCGATCGTCAAGTGCAGCTCCGAAGCTGCGGCGGACGCCATCATGGATGCGTACGTCGAAGAGCCGCAGAAGTTTATCGTCGACGGCCAACCGCTTCAGGTCCTCCGAGACAGGTCTTACCATCGTCCCGGCGCGGTCAACAAAATGTATACCGTGGAGGACGAGGACCCAGGTGAAGTCAGCGTCTCGGGCCTTCCGGATCTCCCACCGCAGTTACTCAAGGCGGCTCTTCGCGAGCTCCTGGACAGGACGTTCGCGTCGGACTCATCCGTCAAAGAGCACGGAAACGGGCTGTTCAAGGAGTACCATCAGAAACACGGCGTGAGCTACATTAGCTTCTACACCGTGGCGACCACACTAGCGCTGCTTAAGCTCAGGCATCCCGTCACGCTTGGTGGCAAAGTTCTCAGCTTCGAGCATCACGGCCCCAAGAGAGCACCGGAGCGAGGCTGGAGCCACAAACTTGACAGGCATGGCCGGAGTCACGAGCATCACCAGCCAGGCTATTGGCATGGTAAAAGTCCAAGCCCAAAGGAAGGTGAGACATACTTTCGCCGTGCCAGGGGTCGTTCTACCGAAGAGAGGCAGCTCTGCATTGATCCTTCTCCTCAATACGATCCCGTCAACGAGAAGTTCCTCAGGTTTCATGAACCTCAGATTTTGGAAGGCGAGAGGTCAGTATCTCTGTTAAGAAACTCAAGCTTTGGTGTTCTTACTGTTTGATGGCAGGCATGGCCATCGTCGGAAGCGTTCCACCTGTATCGCATTCGAGGAACACTTCTATGATCACCGCCAGGTTACTTGGAAGAGGTAATCGATCGAGATTCGTGGTTTTGGATAAGAAAACTAACACAACTATGATCAGCCATGTAAATCTGAGTAAAAACTTTGCCAAGATGTTTTGATAAAATGTCTCGCACTGTCAAACACACCATAACATCGTTGGGTGTGATCACTTCTTAGAATCATCGTCCACGAGAATGCCCAGGAGCTCCTCCTCGCGATAGAGCGTATATCTGGACGAAGCAATCAAATCAAACATCTGTCGAGGGAAGGAAAGAATAAAACCACTCACTCTTTTTGGCCGAGCTTGACAACTTTGCCGCCGTGCTCGGGCAGGAGAACCTCGTCCCCTTCCTTGACGCAAAGAGGAATCATCTGCCCGTCCCGGAGGCGCCGCTTCCCAGTGGCAATCACTGTTCCCGAATTGTACTGCGCAACAATGGCCAAATCTCACACAAAAAGGAGGAAGAATCGAGCAACCACTCTACCTTGGTCAGTGAATCCGGCAGCAAGACCCCGCCCATCGACGCCGCCGGAGGAATAAACTTCTCCACGAGCACTCTGTCGAGAAGGGGAGCGAGCTTCGCGAAAGCCGCCATCGTCAACAAACCCTAAAATCCCGGCTTCGTCTAAAACCCTGGAAAGAGTTTTCTAGAACCCAGATTCTATCAAATAAAGGTATATTCCATTAAACCTTAGATGAGCTTATCTACAGAAAAATCTCCCCGTCAAAACTCGTCTCCTTCGACCAGAGATTGCTCACTCTCCTCGATCGCTTTGGCGGCCGATGGATCGATCGGCCAATCACGCCGGATGGAACTCGTGGATGTTCTTAGCAGGATCCAGCTCTTTGATCATCTCGATCGGCCTTCCACCACCATCACCGCCTGGCTTCTTCCTCGAAGGCGAAGCGTTCCTGTTGTATCCATCCAGGAGGGCCTTGAAAGTTATCTGCGTCGGCTGGCAGCCATGCTCGGTCATGTACTCGATCACGCTCAGCGCCTCCTTGTACAGCCCCAAGCTCGAGTAGCTCCCCACCAGCGTGTTGAAAGTGAAGTTGTCCGGCCTCACGCGAGCAGCCACCATGTCTCCAAACACCCGGGCCGCGTCGTCCATCCTGCCGTGCTTGGTGTACGAGTAGAGCAGCGTGTTGTAAGTGATCAAGTTGGGAGCTTTGCCTGCTCTTCGCATCTCGCTCATCACCTCCTCGGCTTTGTAGTACATCCCTTCCCGTCCATACATGCTCATCAAGCAGTTGTAGGTCACGCCGTCGGGCTTGAGCTGCGCCTTCCGGATCTCTTCCAGGAGTTTCACCGCGCGCTCGATCCACCCCCGCTTGGCGCACATCGAGATCATGGCGTTGAAGACTTTGATGTCCGGCGAGTGGCCGTTGTCGTAGAGCTGGTTGAGCGCGAGCTGGGCCTCGTTGTCCATGCCACACTTGCAGTAGGCGAGCACGAACGTCTTGCACAGGATGCCGCTCAGTGGCTGCTTGGCCGACTTCTCCAGCTCGTCGATGTACTTCCGCAGCTGGAAGAACTGGCCGCTGTTGGCGTACGAGTGGATGAGCCCGGCGTGGCAAGCGTCGCTCAGCTGGAGCCCGGCCTCGGCCATCTCCTGCGAGACTTTCTCGCACTGCTGCCACCGTCCTTCCCGAGCGAGCGAGGCCATGAGTGCGGCGAAAGTCGGCACTGTTGGCTGCAATCCTGTCCTGAGTAGTCCCTTGTAGATGTCCACCGAGTAGTCGACGTAGCCACACCTGCCGTAGCACTCTATCAGGATGTTGAAAGTGTCCACCCCTGGCATGTATCCCGCTCTCTTCATCTCCCTGAAGACGTTGGACACCTCCGTGAGCATCCCGCAGTTGCCAAACGACTTGAGCAGCGAGTTCCAAGTCACCAGGTCCGGGGTGCAGTTCTTCTCTTGCATGAACTTGAAAACTTTCATCATGTCGTCCAGCTTCTCCATCCGGCCGTAGATGTCGATCAAGATGTTGTAAGTCACGATGTTGGGCGTGCAGTTCGTCTTTCTCATCTCCGTGAACGTCTCCAGAGCCTTCTCATACCGCTCCGCACGGTTGAAAGCCGAGATGAGAGTGCAGTACGTGAACTCGTCCGGACACAGGCCTTTGGAGAGCAGGCTCTTCTTCAGAGCGGCCGCCTCGTCGCAAAGCCCGGCTCTGGCGTAGGCCGCAATGAGCTCGTTGTAAGTCACGATGTTTGGAGAGATCCCGGCGGCCTCCATCTCGACGAGCAACTCCGAGGCCTCCTTGTGCATGCCGCCCTTCCCATAGACGTCGAGCAGCGCGTTGTAAGTCACACGGTTTGGACAACAGCCGGCTTCCTTCATCTCCTGGAAGAGTCGTAGCGCTTCCTGGCAGTGGCTGTTCTGGATGCACGCCGTGATCATGGTGTTGTACGTGTAGTCGTCGGGAGAGATCTCGAGATCTTTCATCTCCTGGAAGAGCGACTGAATCCTGTCCCACGAGTCCCCTCTTTTACCGTAGAGGTCCAGCATCACGTTGTAAGTCACCGCATTCCCTCGCTGGCCTTCTCGTTGCATGGTCTCGAAGAGAGTGATGCCTTCGTCGAATCGCCGGGCTCTCGAGAGGATGCTGATGAGCGAGGTGTAAGCGTACACGTCCAGACTGTAGCTCTCGTCCTGCTTGAGGCTCTCGAAGAGCTCCAGGGCCGCGGGGAGCTGTTCATGGTTGCCCAAGACGCTGAGGATGGACGCGGTGGCGACGCCCCGGAGCTTGAAGCAGTCGTGTTTCCTGATCCATTCGAAGACTTCCAGCGCCTTCTTCCACTTTCCCTGGCGTCCCAGCGCCTTGACAAAGTAGACGAGCTCGGAATCCGTGAGGACGAGCTCGCCGGCGATGAATTCCAGCAGCTCCGTGGCGTCGGAAGAATCCTCCTGCTTAGAGATTGATGCGAGCAGCGAATGCGCCGCCTCCGACACGTCGCAGGGCTTGCCCTCCGGAGGATAGCGCGCCAGGGCGCCCAGCCGTTGCTTCGGCAGGGGAAATCTTCGCTCGCTACCAGCGCTGCCACTGCCGCTGCTGCCGAAGATCGCTTCCAGGCTCTGGGATGGAAGAAGAGCAGCCTCAGGAGGAGACTTGTCCGAGACTTTCAATCTCACTGCCGCGGCCGCCTCCTCGATCGAAGAAGGGGAGGAGATTCTTACCGGAGCGATCGGCGCTGGAGCAAGCTCTGGAATGTGCTGCCCCGCGGCCGAGCAGCGACAGGAAGAGCCGATCGCCGAGACGAACGCCATAGCCGCGCGCTACATTTGATTTCCCTTAGGGTTTATCATAAGGGTTTAAAAACTAGTTCTAGGGCTTCAAGAACTAGGGTTCCTGGGAGGTGAGTTCCAGAGTAGAAATGGAGGCGTATCTCAGCAAGCGCTATGGCGCCGTGAAGGACAGCTTCGATCTCAAGCCCAAGAAGGCGAAGAAGAAGAAGAAGGATCCGGCACCGGCGAGCGCGGGTAAGGGCAAATTCCAGGGCGTGATGATCGTGGACGACGACGCAGAGTGGCAGAAGAAGCTCAACGATTCCGACGAGGGCGAGGAGGAGGCCCCGACGATCGTGGAGGAGGACGACGAGGTAACGCGGGCCAAGCGAATGGAGCTCCTGCGGCGAAGGACTTATCTCGCCATTGGCGACGATGGCAGCGGCTGGGTGGATGTTACTTCAGGGAAGAAATGCGCGGACGATTTGTCTCCGGCTCGGGGCCCTCGCCGGGCTCGTCTGGACACGCCGGATCATTCTCCAGCTCGGGAAGATCTATCTCCCCCTCGCCGGACTCGTCAGGACACACCAGACGGAACTCCAGCTCGTGAAGATTTATCTCCTCCTCGCCGCTCTCGATCTCGTGAAGACTTGTCTCCTCCACGACGAAGGCGCGACCAGGAGGACCTAACACCACCTCGACGTACTCGTCAGGACACTCCAGATTTGTCTCCAGCACGACGGTCTCGAGGTGGTGGATCTCCTGCTCGGAGTGGAGACGAGGATTTATCGCCACCTCGTAGAAGCGAAGCCGACTTAACGGACTTATCTCCTCCTCGTCGAAGCAGGCAACAAGATTTATCTCCTCTTCGGCGGAGAGACGCATCAGAGAGTCCTCCTCGTCGAAGAAGGAGCCAAGCAGAGGCAGAAGATTTATCTCCGCCACGGAGGCGGCGGCGGCGGTCTGAGAGTCCTCGTGGAAGAAACCAGGCAGAAGAAGTAGTAGATTTATCTCCCCCCCGTCGGAGACAGCGGAGAGACACCGAGGACTTATCCCCGCCACGCCGGAGCAAAGCTGGCGGCGACGACTTATCTCCACCCCGTCGTAGGCAGCGGACAGACACTGAGGACTTATCCCCGCCACGCCGAAGGAGTGGAAGCGACTTATCTCCTCGTCGCAAAGCTGGCGGCGGTGACTTATCTCCACCCCGTCACAGGCCACGGACAGACACATCTCCACCCCGTCGCAGGGAGGACTTGTCTCCTCCTCGCCGGAGGAATGGAAGCGACTTATCTCCGCGTCGTCGCAAAGCTGGCGGCAGTGACTTATCTCCACCCCGTCGCAGGCAGCGGACAGACACCGAGGACTTATCTCCGCCTCGCCGGAAGAGTGGAAGGGATTTATCTCCTCGTCGCAAAGGTGGCGGCGGGGACTTATCTCCACCTCGTCGAAGCCGGGGAGAAGATCTATCTCCGCCTCGTCGTCGGAGCACCAGCGACCTCTCACCACCACGGCGTGGCCGGGTTGACGACGCCTCGGACAAGGCCAAGGCCGGGCTCAAGACAGGCTCGGAGCTCCGGCACGAGATAACCGAGAAGCAGTCCCAGGACGCGAGGAGATTCAAGCAGCTCGACTCGACGCTCACGGGGCGTGGTGCCGAGACGGTATACAGGGACAAGCACGGGCGGAGGCTGGCGGGGCTGGAGGAGCTGATGAAGCAGCAGAAAGGCCCTGCCAAGGAGCCGGAGAAGCCGCTCGAGTGGGGGACGGGGCTGGCGCAGAAGAGGGAGGCCGAGAAGCGGCGGGAGGAGATCGAGGCCGAGAAAGACAAGCCTTTTGCTCGCAGCAAGGACGATCTGGACGCCATCTACAAGAACAGAGTGCGCTGGGGGGATCCCATGGCTCATCTGGTGAAGCAGACGGACGAGGTACTGCTGGGGCTGGAAGACTTTGGCAGGAGCGACAAGATGAGGGAGTCCGGGTTTAACGTTCCGCAGGGAGTGCCGGCCCATAGCTGGCTCAAGCGCGGCCACGCCGCGACGCCAAACCGGTATAACATCCGGCCGGGGAGGCACTGGGATGGCGTGGATCGCAGCAATGGGTTTGAGGAGAAGCTGTTCAAGCAGCAGAACGAGAAGAAGGCGATGGTGGACACGGCGTATCTGTGGTCTGTTGCGGATATGTGACTGTACCAAACCAATGGAATATGCTTGAATATTTTGGGATGTTTAACCATCTGACGGTTGTTATTCATTTAGATTAATTTTGTATTTATAAAACACTTTCTGGTATATTTTAATTTTATTCTACCATTTAATGGTTGTTTTATAATTATCAATTCAATGAACGAGTCCGAAAGTGAGTCCAAGGAGTCTAAGATGTCACAGCAAATTTTAGAAAAAAATATTTTTTAAATTTTGTAACCTTGGCTTGAAGCTAGAACAAGTGCGCCAACATTCTGGCGATCAATCTCCAAAATCCTCTTTGTGGCCCGCACGCCTCTTTCCTGATTGAGGGTTCGACCACGGGCGCATGCGCCCAGCAGGCATCGCCAGTCCACCACCTCGGGCTTGTACGGCATGCTCGTGATGAGCTCCTCGCTCTCCTCGAGCCGGCCCAGCCGCGCAAGCAAATCAATCACGCTGCAGTAGTGCTGCTTGTATGGCCTGACTGAGTAGTCCGCCACCATCGATCGAAAGCACGCAATGCTGGGCTCAATCTCGCCACCGTGGCTGGATGCGAGCAGCACACACGCAAACGCCATCTCGTCCGGGAGATGGATCATTGTCATGGCAAGAAAGAGGTCGATCGCGGCGGTGGCGCGGCCGTTGTGGGCGTAGGCCGCCAGAAGCGAGTTCCAGGCCACCGGCTGGAGCTCGGGGATGCGATCGAAGAGTGCCCTGGATGCCGCGAGCTGCCCGTTTTGGGCATATGCCGAGAGCATTGTGTTCCAGAGGATTGGGTCGCGGTGATCCATGGCATCGAAGAGCTCCTTGGCTCGATCCAGATCGCCGCTATTGGCATGCGCGCACAGGATCGCGGTCCAGGAGACCAGGTCGCGCTCGGGCATGGCGTCCAGGGCGCGGGATGCGTGGGGAAGATCACCGGCCTGGGCGTATGCACCAAGGATCGCGTTCCACAGGATTAGATCTCTCTCTGGAGCGCAATCAAAGATGTGTTGAGCTTGCTCGAGTCTATTTTGTTGCGAAAGCGCGTAGAGAATCGAGGTAAAAGATACAAGGTTGTGCTCGGGCATGGAATCAAATACTTTCTTTGCTTTATCCAGATGCCCATTCTGGGCATACGCGGATAAGAGACCATTCCAAGATATGAGCTCCCTCTCCTCCATCAATGCAAACGTTTTACTTGCGGAACCCACGTCACCATTGCGTGCGAAGCCTGATAGCATTGCGCTCCAGGTGACAAGATTTTGCTCCGGCATGGATTCGAAGACAATCTTTGCCTGATCCAGATGCCCGTGCCGGGAAAATGCGGTGAGCAGCGCGGTCCAGGAGATAAGATCAACCTCCGGCATCGAGTCAAAGAGCATCTTCGATTCCTTGAAGCTGCCGTGGCGGGAGTAGACGCACAGCATCACGGTGGAGGCGATGAGGCTCCAGTCCGGCATGGCGTCGAAGATCTGCTTGGCGACCTCGAGATGCCCGACTCGGGCATACGCTCCCAGCATGAGCACCCAGGTGAAGTGGTCCTTGGCCGTGATCCCATCGAAGACACGCCGTGCCTCGCTGACGCTGCCGCAGCGGCCATACATCTCGATGAGCAGATTTTCCAGATGGGCGTCGCAGTCGATTGCTAGCGATTGGCAGAGGCGCGAATGGAGTTCCCTTGCTGCAGGCAGGCTGCTGCATGATTTGATCCGCCGGACGAGTGCGTTTCGATCTGGGCGCATTGGTCCATACTTTAGTTAAAGAAGTGCTCTCTGTTAGTCTCCTTGACATGTACGTGCATGGGTCGCCACCCAAACGCGGACGTCATTCAAAAGATCGTTTTGGTCATTCCAGTTCATTTCAATAGTATATCCAAATGTTATCATTAGAACCTTGCTCTTTAATCATATTTTACCACTCATCCAGACAGGGGCATTTGTGTCATTTAACAATGAACTACATATGCATATAGTTAGTATCGTTAGAGAATAAATGTATAATTTATTATAAATTGGGCTTATGAGGACCAAGTGTATAGCTATAATGTCATATACTAATATTAACCATAGAGTTAGTTTTCAATCTGGACTATTCACTTTTGTACATAAGCTAGGGTTTTTAGGTTAATTGTGCAATAAATGTCTATGCAATTTCTCAGCAATTGAATTAATATGTATAGAGATTATATATATACAAATTTTTATAACCACACATAATTGAATTTACAATTGCTTGCTTTAATAAATAACAATGCTAATAATTCTAATTAAAGCTATCTTGTTTTTAGAGTTAGTTTATGGTAGGTGGCCGTCAAAAGTACATTGGGGAATTAATAATACACTATTAGAGAATGAAGTTAGAAGAATTGTTGAGAATGGATTTTTAAGTATTGAACAACGAATTGATAGATTCAATAATAATTATTCAGCTAATTATGAGGATTGGGAATCTATAAATTTTGGTAGAGGGTCTGCTCTGATTTTATTTGAACGAATGATTGGAAACCCACCAAATTGTCTAGTAGGTGATGTATCTAATTCTAAAATTAGTGGTAGTACAATTAGATCTGGAATACAGTATATAAAAAGAACATATAAAAATCAAATTACCAATGCATGTTCTAGCATGTGTGATATTACAAGTCGTAATTATAGACTTAGATATATTATTGATGAATGGTGGAATAATACTAATATACAAAATGATTTTGAAATTACTCTTACAAATCCCTTAGCTTATTTGGATTATAAAAATTGTGATGTTACTCATAGTACGTTATATGCTGGATTTCCTAGAGATCATTTATTAACTTCTCACTTTTTAATATCTCCAAATGGTAAAAATATACTTTATATATCATCTGATTGTAAACTTTTATTATACTCTGGAAGGAATAATATATGGATATCTAAAAATTCAAGAACTTATCAAGGATTTTGTAAACTTCTGTTGAAAAAAAATGGCAATCTTATATTATATTCAGCATTAGAAGAAAAAATATGGTCTATTGATAAATTTTGTTCTAAATTATCTCATTGTAAGTTTATTACATTTTTAACAGTCCAGAATGATTGTAATCTTGTAATATATTCATCTAAACCATCAAAAGAAATATGGTGGGCAACAAATACTCATACCCATCGTCTTTGTATCAAATGAATATTTGAATTAATTGTCAAGAACAACTATTTGATTTACTGTCAAATTTACAGCTTTTAATCGATCCTTGAAAACTACATAATTAACAATTGTTTAATTCCATTGTTTTGATTTTACACTGTCGATTTTCTAATATTCACATCCAACATCGTCGTGTCGTCCGCTTGTCCTCCCGATTTGAGAGCAAGCCGACCTTCATCCAAGAACTTCCTCACCGCGCTTTCTACGTAATTGTTCGCTTGCCGGACGCTCATCCCCTTCCCGAAATTCGGGTAGCCATTCAACCGATGGTCGCCGTTGAGCTGCGACGCCAGCTGAACCAGCTCTTCCTGGAACTCGGTCAGCTTCGCGTCCTCATCCACTGCCCTGTGACGAAGCGACCAAGGAGGCGTTGGAAGCGTCTCTGAAAAGAAGCTCACAGTAAGAATAAAATCCACTTGTCTCTCACGAATTTCTACCTGGACAATCGGTTCTGGGGCTGCTGCGACCAGAGACAACGCTCTCGAAAGTCCCCGCCCAGGCATCTCTCTTCGTCAGAAAGTCCGACTTGAGATCAAAAAGTTTCTTGATAGTCGCTGCCAGTGACGAGTGCTCGAACTGTGAAGTAGGCGTCGGGCCATTTGGCTCATGGACAACTGCAAAGGGCCAGAAGAAAAACTAAGTGGATGACAACGATAAAACAAAGAGTACCTGTTCCTTTCTCGATCCAAGGCGACACCATGATCGTCGGCACACGAACTCCAAGCCTGTCGAAATCAAAGAAGCCAGGCTCCGGTCCCAAAACACCATCGGGATTCGGGACTCCAACGTTTGGAGTCGGGACGTGGTCGTAGAACCCGCCATGCTCGTCGTAAGTTATCACGAACAACACCTCGTTCCACTGCGGGCTGCTGCGCAGCGCCTCGTAAACCTCCTTGACGAGCTTCTGGCCCTCGGAGACGTCGTGCGAGGGATGATCGTCATTGGCGGGAGTGAGATCCAGATCAAAGTAGCGCTGCTCGATGACCGCCACGTTTGGAAGCATCCCGAGACGGGCATGGAGCTTGAAGGCCGCGCGGTAGCTGTGGTACTTGGTCAGGTACTTGAGCTTGCGCAAGTTCTTGAAGAACAGGCAAGCCGGGATGTTCTGGTAGTAGATCCCGAACGAGAGACCGTCCTCGTCCAAGGAATCGTAGATGGTCTTTTGCGGGAATCCTTTCACCAGGTCCTTCTTCACGTTGCTAATCTCCCCATAAGAGGTGGCCGAGTGGACGTAGAGCCGGTTGGGCTGCGTGGACGTCGGCGTGGACGCAAACCACCGATCAAACACTGCAAACTCCATCGCCAGAGCTGTGTAGACTGGGACGAGCTCCGGGCGGAAGCCTTTCATCACCGTCTCGGAGAAGCCCTCCACCATGCTCTCGGCCTGCTGCGCGAATCCATTCATGGGCGGGGGGATCGCGGAGGTGTCGTTGGAGCCGAAGACCTGCTCGGTGATGGCCTGGAACGAATGCCCGGGGTCGGGGTCCACGAATTCGGCCGTGTCGGCGACGAAGATTTTTCGCGACGCGGGATCGGTGGTGGAGAGGGGATTGGACTCGTTGCCCTGGAGCCCGTCAATCTCCGGGTTGAGCTTCTTGAGCCAGCCCAGCATATGATCGAAGGAGCGATTCTCCATCACCAGCACCACCACGGTCTTGATGGGGCCGGAGATTTTCTTCTTCTGCCTCCACCCGAGCTGCTGCTGCCACTGCTGCTGGTGCGCGAGGCAGAGATTCCAGGAGAGGAGAAGCCACAGCACCACAATCTTGGACGCGCTGACCGCTGGAATCGCCATCGCTGGCTCTCCAGTCGATCTTGCTACACGGAGAGAAGAGAGATTAGGGCTCTTACTGGAATCCTGCTGCTGTGCCGATTGGAATGGCGATCGGTGGAGCTAGAAAGATCGCCCGCCCGTACGAATGACCGTCGCAGTGCTCCGCGAAGATACCTCCCACTTACAAACAGTGAAGCACGGCACCATCGCCCATTTCCCCTCTTCTTCTCCGCCAACGACACAGCCGCCCAAGGAAGTGCTCTGGCCACTAAAATGCGGAAGCGTAACGGAAGGCAATTCTATTACGTAATGTCCAGGTCGCCGGCGAAAAGCGCAAGCGACCGGGAGCAGCCGGTCGCAGGGGCTGCCACCTAACATGTCGTACAGCATATGTGATGCTATATACTTTGATTCGTATAAACTCTCTCACTTTGAAAGTGGCTGATTGAGTCCAAACACGAGAGCTCCTGTACGAGAGATACAAAGCACATGGTCAGAAAAAATTCGCGAGAAAACGAAAGAGAAAAAGTGCGCAAAAAAGCTAACGAAAAGATCAAATAAAATAAAAATCTTACCGAGAGTTGGCATGAGAATCGAGATAGCGACGAGGCCAAAGAGTTTGAGCACCAGTCCCATGGTTAAAGTATCAACGATTCTCAAGTAGCCTGTGGAGAAGGCGATGGCATTTGGAGGAGTGGCGATCGGGAGCATGAACGCGAAGGATGCCGTGATGGTGCCCGTGAGCATCATGTAGAGGGGGTGGATTCCAATGGAGAGCGCGATGTCGGCGAGCAGCGGGAGAAAGATGGTGGCGGTGGCGTTGTTGGACGTAAACTCGGTGGTGATGCTCACGAGCAGCCCGGCCGCCGGGGCGACGAGCAAGTATGGAGCCGAGTTGAGGAAGCCCATGTTTTGAGTCATCCACGCGGACAATCCACTCGTCTCGATCCCCTCCGCGAGAGCAAAGCCTGAGAGATAAGAAAAGAAGAAGCTTTAGATCGATGATCAAAGCGAGGACTCTACGTCTATGGATTATAACAAGTTCTGTGAAGAGAGCCTTTTGCTAGTCAGCTCAACGTACCGCGCGTTCTCTCATCTGTGAGATAGAGATTGGGATCATCGCGGTTGAAGCTTGATCACCGCGATCATAGTCACCATGACTATGGTTTCGATTCGGAAGGTTAGTTCTCTCCAGTTCTAAGTTATGACTTAGAGTCAGGCTTAAAACAGGGCTTACCGCCACCCAGGAGCAAGACAATATCCCACGGAAGTTTCTTGCAGCTAGGCCAATCCATGAGCATTTCTCCAGGAGCGAGCTTGTTGGGGATGACGAAAAGAAGCGTGGCCACCAAAATCTGATCGATCCAGCAAACGGGACAAACGAGGAGTCAGCTTTCACGAGAACACGCTTTCCTTGGATTCGACCGGGAACCACAAAAACAAAAGCGAGAAAAAGAAAGAGAGAAATATCATAGCAGCCAGCAGCAAGACCCCACACCAACAACACGCCACGGATCGATAGAGATTGGAATGAGAAAAGAAAAAGTGGAAGAAAAGGGAAGAGGTGCCGGCGGCAACTAGAGAGTTTGAGCTGATTACTTACGCTGACACTGCCATCGCCAACGTAGCCATCGAAGAGCTGACCCCATCCTCCCACAGTTCCAAGTGACCGCGTCAGCCACAATGCGGCCAATATGACGAACAGGCTTAGCACCGAGGCCTCGGCAAAGCTTGTAGGCCCTGCAGCGTTGAAACGACGATTAGAGTACGATCAGAAAATAATATAAGCTGGGAAGGTAATATCTTGATACTAGACAATTGCAAGCCGCCGAAGCAGTGATGTTTATGCCGGATCTGCACA